TGTACTTTATCTTCTTTGCCTGCCTCTTTGAAGATAGGATTTTATATAATAGCAAATTAAGTTACACAGGTGGTAGGTTGTTTATAGTCTCGTACAAAGGGGATCCAAGATAAGTCTCACAAAATAGATTCTCCCACTTCTCTGTAGCAATCAGAATGTTCAAGGTCAAGAATACTATGCACTAGAAAGTTTACACTGTGATAATCTCTGGCTTTTATATTAATGAAAGCACAAAAGCAAAAATCCTATGCTACAATTTTAGCTGTTTACCTTAAGTGTTGCAAAATAGGAGTGCTGTTATAAACTTGGCAAATACACTGAAGTGAAAATGAAGCTTTTACTTCAGTTTTACTTGTTATTCTCTTAGTGATAACATTTCCATCCAGAAAAGTAATCTATTTGCTTTATAGAATAAAGAAAAGTAAAATGTATATCATCCACTTAAAAATTTTAAAATAACCACTTTATATTAAAGACTAATGTTCTTTCAAAGTTTTAGACACAGCACTATTTTATCTTTCATAATTTAGCCCAGATGTTTTACACATAAGCTAGAATATCTCCAAAATGAATGTTAGCAGAACAAATGAACTTTCTGGACAACTCACTCGAATTCTGTTGCTTTATTCAATTGTTCTATCTTTGTAAATTTTCTTTAGCTTGGAATAAATTCTAAATATGCAAAATGCAATTGAATCTGTGAGCTTTGTTTAAGGGTAGAAAATTGCTGTTGTTGAAATATAATATAAAACACTGTACTACAGTTTCTGTCCATGACTTGATTTGTACTGAACTTTGAACCCACCCTATCCAATGGATTGTGTTTAGGAATGCTATAGCTGAAGTTCATCAGAAATGTGGTACCCAAAAGATTCAGGGGACTCTAAGCCCCATTGCCCCTCATGGAAGTTCATCTAACCATTTCCTCTTTTCCCTTTAAGAACGCTATCAGGGTAGCTGATAAAATAGTTTTGCTTTCCATGACAACCTTCTTCAAAATTTTATAAGTGTCCTTGAAAATTAAGATTGACAGGGATACATTCTGCCCCTTAGGAAATGAAAGAATAAAGAGGTTCATAAGGTGACACAACTAATGGAACAAAATTAAGATCTTCAGACTTTAGCCTGACTCTGTAACCAGACCATGCCCTGTTAATCTCACATGTGAAGCCCAATAAATCAAAATCTATTGGATTTTATAGGAATAAAAGATGTACAACAATAATGGATTTATGTCACATAATTTTAGTTTATTATTATCATAGAGGGAAGTTGAAATACTATTTCACTTCCATTTGGAGTAATAAATGGGGTGGTTTCAGAATTGTTCTTTTGTATATTTGTAGCCACTATACACACACACAAACTCATATATATCTTGTATATACTTTATTATATATATAAAATACAAGTATGTAGATACTAGTACTTAAAATATAAAGACATGATCATAATATTGACAAGTTTTTTTACACATACTGCCAAAATGTTCATATTTTGCTATATGTATTAATATAAGAAAGACTCATATGATTGAAAAGAGGAATGATTTTGGAGGCAGCTAGATACAAGTTTATGTAGCAGTTCTGTAACTAATGAGGTGTGTAGTCACAAGCATATCAGCATCTCTGAGGTTCTCTCTCTTTGTGTATAGAGAGCCTGAATGATGTGAGAAGTAAATGAACTTGTGGTTATAAAAATTTGGCCCAAATAAATCCTCACTAAATGTATACTTTTACTTTCCCCCAATAATTATTTATGGAACATTTACAAGAACTCTTAGTGCTATACAAGTGTGTTTTAATGGCTTACTAAGTACAGCATATAAAAAAGATAAGATGTAACTTGATTCCTCAGATCAAGTTTTCTCAGTGTCAGCACCAGTGAAAATTTGCAGGTAGATCTTTGGCAGGGTGCACCTCCCTGTGTGTGGAGAGCAGCTCCCTGCCCACTAAGTATCAGATGTCCTAGGGCACCATCTTCCTCCTGATTTGTGACAACTGAAATGGCTGCACACATTGCCAAATAGCTCTTGTTGAGATATCTGTATCTCTCCAATTGAGAATTTCAGCCTTTGATCAAATTTTGTGAAGAATATTCACAGACTGCTTGTCCTAGGAGATTCTCTGTAAATGATCTCAGAGAGAAATGAGATGAGAACAGTTTAAAAATAATGACAAAAATAGCAATGGCTAATTTTTGGTTAGCTTAATACATGTGGCAGACTGTTCTGATTCAACCCTCATGAAAGACTTACAAGTTAATTATGATTTTAAGAACAGAGTTTTTAAATGAGCAACTTGAGCTCCAAAGAAATCAAGTACATAAAAGACTAACATCCTACACTTAGATTAGTGCCACAGCCTGGATGTGTTCCAAGCTATCTCTACAGCCTGTGCAATTATTAGACAGCACTGCCCCCTGCGTACCCCAATTTATAATTGAAAAATCAAATCTAAATGTTAAGAATAATTATTCTTAATTGGCGGTATTCATTAGGTATTTACTTTATCTCAGGGATCTACAAAATTACCTCGTGTCTTCAATTGATGTAAGCTCCTAGTTATTTGCTAAATGATTGTTCTCATAAACATCCTTAAACACAAGCAGACAAGCCACTATCCTTGGAAAAATTAGCAAAATAACAGCAAGGCAAATTCAGATGGTCAGGAACTGAGGAGAGACACTACTCTTCTTAAGGGAAGCAGAAAACATTGAAAAGGAGATGCAGTGCTGAATTAGAACTTTAATTATCACATTAACCTTAGATAAATAAGTGTGTGCGGGATGAAAAGGCATTTTACACTGAATAAGAAGAATGTGCAAAGGTCTGGACACCTAGGAGGGCGTGATATGTTTGGAGAATGATGGGAGTCAGGATACAGAGGTAGGAAAATAATGCTAGAGAGAGGGCAAGGTTTTGCATTATTATAACTGATCTGACTCCAGGAGGCATTTAATTTTGTTACCTTTACTGGAAGTGCAGCAGAGCATGTGCATCACAGTTGTGACATGGTTACGTAGGTACTTGACAGTGACAACTGAGGTGAATAGTGTTCGGTGGTGGAGAGACACTCCAGACACTAGTACAGCACTTTCTGCATGCGATAATAATTTAAGGTGGAATGGTGGGTCAGATATGAGAGTTTCTGTTAATAAGAGAAGCTGGGTAAGGAATATCCTCCTCTTAATGGGCTGTTAGAGCAAATAAATAGAATTATTTACAGAAGTGCTGTCTCTACAAACCAAAATAATGTACCTTCACAGAAATAATGTAGCAAAAGGTCTGGCAGCTTTCTGGTCACCTAGAGAATTTGTAGTAATACATTGCAGATGTCATAGTTGATCTGGAAACCTGTTTTCATCTCCGTTCAGATTTTCCATATAATTTGAACACCCCAGTTGTTTAGTGAAGGTCCAAAACTCCAAGGTAGATTCCAAATTATAGTCCTCAATGTTTAGTTCAGACCACTTTGTCTATTTCCTTCTGATCAGATCACCTGGGAAAGGTGACCCAGAGGAGAGCTAGCCACGTGTATTTGAGTGATAACGAGGCAGCCAAAAATGTTAGGAAGACATTAGGCCTACATGCTAAAGAAGCAGTTGTTTAACTGATGAATTAATCAGATTTCAGATTCACTGTCACGACCTGTGACTTAAACATTTGAAATAAGATTAATTGAAAGAGCAAAACCACCTATTTAAACCTTAATTACAGTTTCTCTACTTTATTCCTTATTGAAATAGCTAATGAGTCACTCTCAAAAAAATACTTCAGCATAATACCAAGTGGATTTTTATCTCCATGCATTATTCAACAGATTCTTACAACCCTTATTACTCAAATTCAGAATGACCATATAGCACAACATACTTGACCTTTCTTTTGTAGTTTTTCCAAATATCTTCTCCAAACTAAACCTTTAAAAATCACTCTTAATACTTCAGTTCACTTAAGATGAACATTTCATTTCACAACGGATACAGACTTCATATTCTCATCCCCAGAAGTTCCAAAGGAAAATATTTGATCCACCTTGTTTCATAACATTTATTTTTGTGTCTAAAATCAAAATTAGTAGTGACATCTAATATTTAAGGAGTGATATTAGGATCCAGATGCCTTTGAGGTGCTATTTCAAATGAAAATGACCCTACCAAATAAATATTCTTCAGCCATTTTTCAGGTGGATAGAAAGTAGGGTAACATAGTGAAACAAGACTTTCTAGTTCCAATTATCCTGTAATGTTCAAACATAAGTCTGTGTTATGTTTAGTGAGCAAAACCTGTATGCTTTCTGTGTCATACTTCAGAGTCCAGATTTTAGCACCATCCTTTCTATTTCATCGGAATTTTAACATGTCCCCGTAGCTGATATATTGCCATGTTTTACTAGTTCTAAGAATCTCTTTCTTTTCTTTCCTGTGCCCTGGAATACTATTTTAATCTCTAAGCTTAAGCGATTTCATTGATTATCTTACCTGCTCCTATTAAAGCAAAATAGATTTGCAGAGTAGATTGTTATAAATGTACAAAATTTTGAATGTGAATCAGTAACAGTAACATACCTTCCAAAATGCTGGAGGTTGGCCCAAGGATAAGATAATTTGATCCCAGATTTGTAGAATATCAGCTTAGAACATTAGTTTTAAAGTATTTCAGGATTCAAGAATTAACTATGTACAGAACTTACTTTATACATAGCTACCACAACATATAATGGTAAAAAATGTTCACTGAAGAAATAGTTGTAATAAAACCAAATATAAAGTCTTTATATGTGATCAATATGGACAAATAAATCAAAAACTTATGACTAAATGTGATTGCCTTCCATACCCCAATTTGGTCCAAATCAGCAGGATATTAATTCAGATCTGTTTCACTTGTGATAGGACTTCTGTCTCTCTATGAAAACTTATTGTCCTGTCTGCAGTGCAAGAATTGATATTCCTAGTATTACTATTCTAACCCATTCTTTTTTATGTAAACATTTTAGGTATATCAATATATGCATGAAACGATAACTGTTAATGGCTGCCCCGAATTCCGTGCAAGGGCCACAGCAAAGGTAAGGTTTGTGTAACTTTAAAGAAATCCTTGACCCTGGTGACCTAGTAATTGACTGTGCGCGTGTGTGTTGCAGGTATTCTCGTGTGTACACTGTAAGAGAATTTAGACATCAGTGGCAGCCCAGAGTCTAGAACCATTACTACTTCCCAGGTAAAAATCCTAATGGAAAATTGAACATTTCTGCTGCTTCTGTAGCTTAAGAAAGGAGAATGATCTCATTAAAATCACTAAACGTCCATTTGGCACAAGCAAATCTACTGGTTCATTCTATAAAATACTACATGGTTTTCTGACACATTTCTCTGATCTGAAGGAACCCATGTCCTATTTGGTGCCTGGTTTATTTGCACAGGACTAAAGAGTTGATGTAAGTCAGACATGAACTCACCTAAACCCACTGATCTAGATTCTTTGTGTTCAGTGTAGCAGTGGGTAACTTGCTGAAGGAATGCAGCATTGACCTGCAGGGAAGGCTTGTCACCTTCTGTGGCAGTGACTGCATTTCCTCTTTAACAGCTCAAATTTGGAGATTACAGACAGCCTGCTAATGAAAATGATGCAGCAAGAGGATCATGAAATTTTCTGGAAGACAGTCCATTAGGAAAAAGTAATTTTCAATTAAACTGCCTGATGCAGTTTCATATACAAGAAGTATAGAAATATAATAATAGAACCTGACTTGTCTTTTAAAAGCTTTTATAGTTCTCATAATGTATAAGAAGCAAGAACCAGTGAAAATAATCAGAATTTTACATTTAATTCTTTTGTGTTGTATCACCTGTTGTTTGGTTTCTCTCTTGATTTTTTTTTTAGTTTTTCATTCTGTAACTGAACAGTGTAGATTCGTTTTTATTTTTTCTAACCCAGGCAAAAAGAGTGTTATTACCATCACATCATGCTTTGCTTGTACTGAAGTGGAATACACACAGAAAAGTGATCCCTACATGGTTTAATTAAGGGGAGAGTGAATTATGTAGTGTTTTACCATTCTCATTTCTTATTCATGTAGAACAGCAGGATAGCAGCATAATGTTGCAATAGCACAATATTTTCTGGTTGTTTCTGGGCTGTCTGCATTGCATCCATGTCAGCCATTAAAACTTTTGCATGACGACAAGGTTTGCATGAGCAAATGCATGTAGCTAAAACCAAGCCATTACTTCCATATCATTCACTATCTTTCACTTAATGCAGGCAGTAGCATAATGCTGAATTGATGTGATAATGCTGTGTGTGGAAAAAGAATGTACAGTTGTTGGGAATCGATATTTTCTGTGTTGAGTAAATCACTTCATAGTAGGCACCTGATCAACTGTGGTTAAGGCAGGTGATGGGAAGTGGAAAATAAGAAGCAGGCAGAGAATCTTTTCTTGAGTGGGAACGACACAAATGCTATTTTTTCTGTGGTGGGTGGGGACTAATGGTAAGTTGTTTTCTTGTGCTTATTTAAAGGAATTAACATGCATTTTAAAATCAAGTTATATCCATATTAAGTGATATTTTAAAATTTAGGTATAAAGCTATGGACTGTTTGTTTTGCCTGTGTCAATATAGGAGTTTAAATACAAAGGAAAATGTAGGCGAAAAAACATCCTATGCCAGATAAAAGGTTTCATGAAATAATATGGAATGTTGATAGGAAATAGCAATCTCTTTGAATCTATTGTTTCATTTTAATTTTTATTTTAGCTTAGGCATCCTGGATTTTAAAAAATATCTTAAATTGACAAAATCAATGGTCTGTCGATAACAAAATTAAATATTTACTCTCAAGAATACATGTACAAATGCTCTTCAGTTTATTGCTTATTAGCATTTATGTGCAAGCACCAAGTTAGACTGTGTGCTATACAATATATATATATATACACATATATATATATATGATAAAATCTGACCTTAGGGTGCCAGTAGTCAACATATGTACAAAATAATTATGGTCCTAGGTAATATATGTACTAAAACTCTCTGGAGGCCAGAAATAGGGTTTGCATCTAAGTGAGATGACTGTCAGGGAATTCCACTTGAAATGTTTGTCGTAAGGGATGAGCTCTAGAAAGCCCGGAATAACTGGGTGGGGCTTTACTGAAAGCCATTACAGATGGCATCTAAACCCAGACAGGCCCCTACCTTGATATTCTTCATTCACAGGAGATGCTATAAAAGTGTAAGAACTTGCTTCAGCTACCTGCTGCAATGCATCTGATCAGCCTTATTCCCTCATTTTATTACCAAAAGACCATCTTTTCTTTCAGGCAACAGTTGCAGCCTTTGCAGCTAGTGAAGGCCACTCCCACCCCCGGGTAGTCGAACTGCCAAAGACCGATGAAGGCCTTGGTTTTAACGTGATGGGAGGAAAGGAGCAAAATTCCCCAATTTATATCTCTCGCATCATTCCTGGAGGGGTGGCTGAAAGACACGGAGGACTCAAACGAGGAGACCAGCTGCTCTCTGTGAATGGTGTGGTAGGTTCCTAAAATAACTACTTACTTTTTCCCTAAGTAACTTCTCCCCCTACCCCTGCTATTACTGACGTCAATGTTGAAATCCTGTAACAGACCATAATTTTGTATCCAACTAGCTTCCTGAGTTTGATGGGTACTGAATCCATAAAAGCATAAATTTTATATTTTTATGTTTCATTTCATCTTGCTCAGGTATGATAAATACTAACTAGCTGACAAATCATTCAAGAAATGTTCCCAAATTATAGAATTACCCTTCCCCATAATACTGTAATTGAGGGGCTGGGGGTTTAGCTCAGCGGCAGAGCGCCTGCCTGGCAAGCGCAAGGTCATGAGTTTGATTCCTGGTACTGGAAAAAAACCAACAAAAAACAAAACATACTGTAACTGAATTAATGTTTGGAAATCATAATTTAAAGTTGCTAGAAGGAAATACACACATTTTTAAAGTAGAAGTCTTTGTAGTGTGTGTGCTTCTCATTTTAATTGAAAAAGAAGGATAATTTGTAATGTTTATGTACTAACACATGAAAAAAGAAAATGCACTCGCAATTTTAAGCCGTCTCTATAGCCAGAATAAAAATAGCTTTTTCCTAAAAAGTTTGATTACTTTGCCTATTTATCACAAGTTATAGTTTTCAAGTGACATTAAAGTAATTAAAATATATAACATTTTAAAGTAAAAGTACAAGGGTACATTTTTTTCAGTTGGACACCTTTGCCTGTGCATGAGTACAGGTATGATGAGTGCCTAAATAAACAGATTCATGTCCAGTAGAGTAAGTCTCTCTCCATGACTTTCACTTACACATAAATAATCAAAGAGAATAAATTTCAGAAATAAACACAGGGATAGATTAATGTTTACCTAACCAGTAACCTCAGATCTTCTCTAAGAACCTAAACTTTGCTGTGTGTAGTAGTGGGTGCCTATAATCACAGCACTCAGGAGGCAGAGGCCGGAGGATCACCATGAGTTCTAGGCCAGCAGTTCAAGGCCACAATGAACTACAGAGTGACACCTTTCTCAAAAATGAAGAAACAATAAGTAATAACACCAACCATTGTTGATTTCCTACCATCTTGTTTTGAAATTCTGTATCATTTTTATAGTTTTCGTGTTGTTTTGTTTTTGTCTTTGTGTTACTTTGTTTTTGTTACTTTGTTTTTGTTCTTTTCAAAATAAAAAAAGAACAAGAGGAAGAAAGAAAAAAAGAAAGAAAAAATTAAGGGAGGGAGGGGGAGGGAAGGAGGGAGGAAGAATGATGAAAGAAAGAAAGAAAGAAAGAAAGAAAGAAAGAAAGAAAGAAAGAAAGAAAGAAAGAAAGAGACCTAAAATATTATATAAGCTAGATTTGGGTTCTCTGTAGTTATATGGATTCATGATTAGAACATTTATGATTAGAACCAGAATAATATGGAATGTGATATTTAATTGGCAACTCATGAGTGAAATTCTTCTGCATTTACATCTTGAATTTTGTGTATTTGTTTTTTATTTTGAATGTGAAAAATAGTTTTATACTACTCAAAACATTTCATTTAATGGTGCAGTTCTCTAATGACCATCACACTTATCGGTTCACGAATATTTTATGTTATCTCAGCATTCCCAATCTAAAGTAACCATTTATTTCCATTTTTCTATGTGACAGTGCTTGCAAGATAAGCTTCTTTTATTGACCTTTCAGTAACTATAACTTTTTCACAGGATGTTTCAACTTGATAGTTCTAGAGCTGAACTTTCCGGTAGAGGGCTGTAGACCACTGTCACACAAATATGGTACACAGTCATTCTGCCTCAGGATATGAATTTATTTCCCTAAATACATTTGGTATAGGCTTAAAGTGGTGTAAGCTTAACAGCAGTAACATGTAAAAGTAACTAAGGATAGCAAAATATATTAAAAATAATTTTAATTATAAAAAGAAACAATATATATTCAGACATCAATTTAATAGGTAGTTGAGTTAGAACTGTGGGAGCTAGAGAACCTCTGTTTGACCCACACGTTTTGCAGGGAACACAGCTGTAGGCATTTCACAGCCACTGCCCCATCCCAGGCAATGACCTCGTGAGGACCGGGGTGGGAGCGGAGGCACAAGGGGTGTTGGAACAATAGAGTCAAACAGACAGAGTTCTACCCATCAATGTCCGTGCAATTATTGGTTAATATCTCCTACACCTTAGTTTTCTATAGGGAAGGAGGACTGATAACTGATAATAAGGGCACTGGTGAAAATTACAGGGGCAAAATATCTGTTAAGAATCGTCCCGTGATCATCTGGTCCTGCACTGCTCTGATAGGGAAGGGTGGCTACTGAAGAAGTTTGAGGGAATGAGATGAGCGGCTCCCATGACAATGGTTTTGCTAATTATGTACAAAATACAGTGTGTCATACAGCAAATTCTACTACACGTATAGGTCTGTTATAGCCAATAGTTATGAGCAAGAAGGTAATAATCAACTTTACTGTACAAGTGATAAAATCCCAGTTCTCTCTTCACACATGTGTTTCAGTCATAACCTTGAAATAAAAAGACTCACTTGAGTCAGATAAGACAACATTTCAAGGTCAGGATTTTATTTTCTTTGTGTTCAGTCTCAGAAAATCAGAAATCCTATGAAAACAACAATTGGAAATAGGACGGTTTAGTGAACAAACTTTGATACCATCTCCCTCCACGTCAATCCTGTGGTAAAGGCTGATGGACACTGTTAATGAAAGGTAGCAAACATCTCCAAAAGGTTTTAATAACCCACATATATTTAAAACCTATAACTTTATCAATTAAGTTCCATTTGTAACATATTGTGCTGGTTAGTAGGTCACTAATTTCATCAATGAAAATCAATTTCTGGCATTATTTTACTAATAAGCAATGTATTGTTTATTCACTGAAAGCAAATTTTCTTTTAACAGTAATGACTACAATGATGCTTTTCTGATATATAATGCTGACTGACCATTCTAGAAGTTTATTAAGTTTCTGAAGTTACAACTTAAAACATTGCACCTTCGTGTAACCAAAGTATATAGTATAATCTACTTATTTCAAAGGTAGTTTAGAGTAAGTTATATACATTTTCACAGTGCCTAATATTTATCAGGTATTCAATACGCAAATGGTCTGTTTAATTCTAGAATGTTGGATTTTTAATGCCAAATCCAGAAGTATTTTCCATAGAAATAATTCTAGGCAGGTAGTATTTAATGAAAAAACAAAACATTTTTTAAAAATTATGGCTCTGTAATGGATAAAGCAAAAAATAAAAAATAAAAGCAAATGATCAAATGATTTCTACCTTGAAAAAAGGTACCATTTAGGGAGACTAATATGAAAGATTTTTAGAATGTGTCCTCAGTTTAGAACAAAGTTTGGAAGGAAGTGATTTGGAGAACTGAAGAAGACTTTATTTTAGTATAAGAGCTGTGAGGATAATTCCCAAGTCTCCTACTTTAGGAATAAAATAATTTTCCATGGATCTTTAAACACCTGAAGAGACATCCTAATGATGTCCTTGTTTACTTTTATGTCTTGGGCGCATTGAGAAGGAATGTGTCATGATGTCTGGTGAAAAATAACATTTTAATACAGAACTGTTAACATAGAAGGTTAGACAATAAAGTAGATGGAAGGGGTAAAATCAATAAACAGAAATAAAGAAAAGGTACAGCAACAGAGAAATCGATTTTTCTTTCTTTTAGTTTCTTATAAGTCAAAACAGAAAGAAACCAGTTCAACTGTCATTGGGAGAATTTTTTCTCCTATTCCTGGGATCCAAAATAAATTCCCCATGGGATTTTTATAAATAAGACATTAAATCACCTAATGCAATTTTATGGAAAACACAGGGGTCTTTTGTGTAGTTTATAGGTACTTCTTAGGTCAACCCACAGCAAAAACTTACACCTGAATGCTGAATTAAAATATATCGTTAATAGGAGGTCAAAATGTTTCAGTTAGAATTTATATCTTTCTAATGATCTCCTTTTCACCCTTTCATGCTCAAGTGTTTTCTCAGCAATTCTGAGAAAAGAATCAAGGACTATATATAAGATTTCAGCCAGTGTGGAGGCAGCAGGGACAGCAAATATATTAAGTGATAGAGTCAGGATATAAAAAATTCAATACAGTGATACAATAGGCCTAATCTAATAAGAATCTGCATCAAGTCCTGCCCCAATATGGAGAAAACTAGCTGTGTATGTCCATCAGCAAAGAAAGAATTTTAAATATCAAAGCTTGAAAAAAAATATCCTAGGGCTATCAGTTGATTCCAAGAGTAATATAAAACAAATGGGTTAGGGTAGCAGCAACAAAACATGCTACTGTGATTGTAGGGACATTCATAAAAATTTGTTTGACAGAGCAAGGAAGGAGGTTAGTCCCGCTCTTGAGTGTGCTGTTTAGCCCACGTCCAACTGGATTCTGATGCAGTAAACATCCAAGAAAGCAGTCCTGTATGTGAGGAGCATGTTAAAGAGAACTTAAGTGTTGAGAGTAGAGAAGAGACTGTTTAGAGCAATAACCATCTTCCTCCCTCCATTGTTCAAGGCACCAGATGTCAGCCCAAGACCAGCGGGTGAAGATCACAAGCAAGGGCTTTTACACACGGAGAGGTAGCTAGATAAAGGCTGAGTCAGAACGTGATGTGTGTCCATCATCTGAAATTTTAATCAGAGATTAAAAGGTTGCCTGAAATGTCTTTCAAAATACGTGTACTGTATGCAAGTTGGCCCCAATGTCCCTTCTAACTCTGTGACTCTATGATTTTTGTGCCTTCAAATGGAATTTTGCTAAAAGTATTGTGCATCCCACCTCCTCTGCCTTATACTCTAAGACAGGAAAGTGATTCTGCCTACCTACTATCTTTGTACCCCATTTATGAGACTTATTTTTAAAGGAACAATTAATATTTAATTGATCACTCTTACATGCCTATATCTGGTTATCTGAGCAGCTACTTTGAAGATAACAATATGTAATACAACAA